GACTGGAGACCCGGAGATAGAAGGAATCAAACTTCCTTCGATCTCCCTCTACATACAGTATACACACATAGATGCATATTCTACGTAGAGTCGAGGAGCTTAATACTAAGTACGAAACCGTGGAAATCAAAGAAAACAAAGTCCATTTGATTACCAAAGTCCAAGTCTTACTCTGCCAAATAATTATTTGAACTAAGAGGAGTGAAGCTAAATCGCGACACGACGCGACCATGAAACTGGACTTACGGAGTCAGTCCCGTTTCCTCTGGTGGGTCTGATTCGAGAGAAAGACAGACGATCCACGTCTCTGCCAGTACTCTACTCTCTGCATACCTGCTGCCGAGAGCCCAAATCCGAGCTTACAGTGTACGACGTAGGTAGCACCGCGTCGGGTTGCCCTGCCCTGGCGACACCAGCTATGTCTGACGGTCGTAGAGTCCCGAAACGGAGTTCTACTCTCTGCACAACGTCAGGAGTCCAGGACACGACTTGCATCCGTCTGACAGCTCTTTTGAGCTGCGCTGCGCCGGGAGCCTGGACTCCGCCTGACGCGTACAAAGAGTGGAAGAATCCTCGGAGGCGTCGATTGATCCTCTCTCAAATCAGACCCACTAGAGGACGGCAACCGATCTCAGCCAGTCACATGGTTGGTCACTACACTTATCACATGAAGCAATAGTGACCGAAATGGAGCACGATGTTACGAGCCCAATATGGACTTACGAACAAACAAAACAAGTTGATTAATAATTATTTGGTAGAGGAGACACTCGTACACGCAACCTTAAAACTAACCAAACCAAACTAAGATACTAAGGGAAACTACAAATAGGAGGGACGCGAGACCCGGACGCGCGATCGCGAGATCCATATCGAACGAAGGATCAACGACGAATGAGCTCTCACCCCTCGTGTACCTGTGTCGGTCAAGGGGTCGTGGCTCGCTTGTGCCCCTCGAAGTAGAGAAGAGGAAGGACAAACATTGTTTGCCAAACAACAACCGCGTGACATGACGTGACAGGTCGATTCGAAGGCTCGTTGGATCCATCCACAAAAGAATTTACGAAACATTAATACCACAGCATAATCATATTCCCCATCATTGTTTAAATAATAAGTATTGTTAATAATTAATTTAACTATTGTCAGAAATTAATATTTAGTTGGTGCAATCAAAAGATATTAAAATATTGACAAATTTCTCACGATTATTGTCCCGAATGAATACTTATTTTAGACCGTAATTGTTATTAATATTTAATCGAACACAGAAGGATACTGTATGTATCATAAATGTTTAATTATATCGAATTAAGTTTTAATTGTTCCAATCAGTAGATATTAAAATATAGAAAAATATAAAACATTTTTTGGTTTAGGTGTGACACTCTGTTTAAATATATTGTAACATATATGTGTATGAATTGAATCTGGAACAAGCACTTGCGAAAAACAAAGTTAATGAGACCTCTGTCAGTGTCTAATGGAACTGCTGACGCCATCTACATGTCGAGTTACCAGGTAATGCTTCTTTAATCGCATACTCGTCTGGTACATCGTTACTACTATTATTACAACGTCCAAGATGACGTTGTTTTCAAGATCTTGCACCTGCTAATGTTTTGTTCAAAGATCGGTTAATACGATACACAGAGTAGAAAATGTTTTCAAATTTCAAACACTATTTCCGGAAACTAGTATAAATATTCTCAATTTTCAGATAGAGGATATTACATGACCGACCGATGGACATAGGAATATAAAAGACAATCTTACAATTAGTTTATGGATAAGTAAAAGTAAAAATGAAATAAAACACAATCATAAAGCATGGAATCAAACAGAAATATGTGACATAAATTAAACATTTACATATATTTAATATTTATGTAACTGTATCGATATATGATAAAAAAGGTAAACAATAATGTGACGATATCTTCCATAAATCGCCTTGCTAACTTTGCATTAGAATTAAAATGGCGATCCTCCTTTTTTTAAATAGAAGGTAGTATTAACTTTTTGGCTCTTATAAAACTCAGTAATATTTCTTGGAATTTTTTTACTTCAGATTCCGTCCTCCTGATATTTAGTTAACACTCAAACTAATGTATTTTATTTTTATGTTTTTACAATAATCATTAATTAAATATTATATCATATATTTTGCAGAAAAAGAAACATTTGACAACTTTAACCTTGAATAAAGAGATAAGTGATAAGTGATAGGTTTTTCAAAAATAATAATGATCAAGACCAACAAGTATATTATGAGCCTTTATGCAGATGCAGAGTTTAATAAATAAAAAAGAAAAAACAAATATCCGCATAAATTATGCAAACAGATTAGAATGATGTTAACAAACTCGTGATGTCTATGTGGTTTGTTAAAGTCTGTGTCTCATGAATCTTGTGAATCACAGGAAAGTGGAATAAGCCTTAAATCAGATTAAAAAAAAGCAATGTAATTGCATCAGATTTATGTTGATATTTCATTTCTATCTGGTTACGAAGCAATATTCTACACCGTGTTTACAATTTGCTAGATTTTTTAGAAGTGATTCATTTTTCGTTATTAGCACGATCAACAGGCTTCAATCTATTCAATTCTGGTTATGAATCATGGAAGTTCAAAGATAATACCGAACACTGAAAAGGTAGACCACGACTGGAGAGACCTACATTATCCACTATTGATCTTTAAAAGCTCATGGCTTTACTAGAAAAAGGTTGTTGACATTAATCAATAATACAACGATTCTTTAATATAAAAAGAAAAAAGAATATGTTCACGTTTTGAAGATTATTCCTGTGAAAAAGAATCTTACCGTTTTAAACAATAATTTTGAATTAGAATGGATAAAGATAAACAGACTGTTCCGTTTTGCCCCTGTGACGTCACACTAATAGTGCGGGAGGCAGCGAAGATTTCTTCAAGTCATTTGATGAAAGCTGAAATTTCTAAAGATGAGGTCCCATGTATGTAAGTTCGGGCATGGAGCACGAACAACGTCCACTTGAAAATGTCAACTCGTCGCGGAGGAGGGTCTGATGGACCCAGGCGAGCTGGCACAACGAGCCGCGAACACCTAAACGAGTACGGAATCCCGAAAAAGGCCACGATGAAGGATACAATGAAGAATAAAGAATTCGATTTAATCAAAAACTGATGAGTCGATCGCTCGTTTGACCCCAGACCCTTGAGCGAACCCAGGTAGGCAGGCGCCTAGGGTCTCGGTGAAAAGAAGTATCGGGAGTCTCGCTTCGAACCACTCGAAAGGGTCGATTTTTTTTAGCGTTCGATCCAGGCTCGCGTGGAATAGTCCCCGTGCTCGCGAGCCTAGACCATGGGCAGAGACCCAAACGCTCGTAAAATCGACCCTTTCAAGTGGTTCCAACCGTTCGTCGTCGCATTTAGCGACCTTTTGCTCGCTAGTAGAAACGTATTTTCGAACAAAATCTGGCGAGCACGGACAATTTATTACTCGAACACGAGCATCACATAGATGGGACCTCACCTTAAGGGACCCCCCAAGAAATGATCTTGTCCGCGTCGCGCGGGGCACAGTCCCGGTACAATGGATACCAGGGGGTCCCCAAGTCGCGGAATTACAGCAAAGTCATATTCTCGGCCATTGCTTGAACAAATATTGTACTTATTATGTAAACAATGATGGGGAATATGATTTTGCTGTGATATTAATGTTTCACGAATTATTTTCTCGATGGATTCAACAAGCCTTCGAAGCAACATGTCACGACATGTCACGCGGTTGTTGTTCGACCTTTCCCTTCTCTACTTCCAGAGGCACAAGCGAGCCACGGCCGCCGCCCAAACAAATATGCGAAGGGTGAGAGCTCATTCTTCGACGATCCTTCGGTCGGTATGGATCTCGCGATCGCGCGTCCGCGTTTCGTGTCCTTCCTATTTTTCCTTGTTCCTTAGTTTGCTTGGTATTGCTTATGGGTACCTTAGTTTAATTTGCTTAGTTTTAAAGCATGGATGTACGACAGTCTGTTCTCTACCAAACAATTATTAATCAACTTCTTTTGTTTGTTCGTAGGTCCATATTGGACTCGCAACTCCGTTCTCCACTTCGGTCACTATTACTTCATGTGATAAGTGTAGTGGCCAACTGTGTAACTGGACAGAAAGGTCGGCTGCCGTCCTCCTGGTGGATCTGATTCGAGAGGAAGACAATCGGCTCCTCTGGATCGGTTCTCTACTCCCTGTATCACGTTTAGCCCAAGGCTCCCGGCGCAGTGCAGTAAGTCCAAAGCGCAGTGAGACGGGTGCAAGTCGTGTCCTATAGTGGCTCCCAACGGGGTGCAGGGTGTGGAGGACTGGTTCGGAGGCGTCGGTCGTCTTCCTCTAGAGTCAGACTTAGACTTTGGAAATCAAAGGGACTTTGTTTTCTTTGATTTCCACGGTTTTGTACTTAGTATTAAGCTCGTCGACTCTATGTAGAGTATGCATCTATGTATGTATACTCTACATAGAGGGAGATCGGAGGAAGTTTGATTCCTTTTATCTCCGGGTCTCCAGTCGCAGCAACCTCCACGTGGTGAGACCTGGTAATCGATATTATTCGTGACGAACAAATCTTCGTCGCGAGTAATATCGAGCTAATGGCTGCAAACAAATAATAAGATCTTTAAATATAAAAACTGTAAAGTGTAAAGTGAGACTAGATTTAGATTAGCAGGGACAACACCGCGAACCCGTGGCTGGTACTAGCCCGTAAAAGAACAAAGTATCCAATCTACAATTAGTTTTCAGAAAAATTCATTTTCATAAATTATGTATCAACATTAATATATTTTTATTGCCTTAATTAAGTTGAAGAAAAATTGACGTCCAAATGCGGCGTTTTTAAGGTGAGAGAATAATAAAAATTGAACTTCATACAGGTGTAATTATTGTACATACTTAACTAATTTCCAGATAATCCTGGAATCAACTTCAAATTGCTATGAAAAACGTAAAAGAGAATCGATAGTAAGTTTAAAAAAATTTATTAATAAATAGTGAACAGTATCGTAATGATACTTTGTTATTATGCTACAAATTCATTACGTATACTTAAACTGTATAAACGGATAACCGCGTATGTGTACATAATTGCGTGAAATTATATTGTATAAATTATACTTACCTAAACAATAATAGATAAACATATAACTATGATCCACAAAGGAAGATAATGTTATGTATATAGTATAGACACATTGTAATTGTCAAACTTTAAAGCATACGCAATTTTGTTTGACCAATTCGTAAGAAATAATTTCTAGTTTAGAGAAAAAATTGTATTTTACAAAACGTAAAAAACAACAGTCACTTTGTTTTCTCTATTTTCGATGTGAGTGTCTTGAACGATGATGTTTTAGTGACGTAGTACTTGCACTACCGGGGGGCGATCGTCATCCAATTAATTCAAGGCGAGATACCGCGCTACGCACAGCATTTCGTAAAGATTGCTCAGCATTGCCGTTTAGTAACGATTCAAGCCTTTCCACGTAATTATCGATATTTTGTAACGTTGCGCCATCATGTGTGCCTAAAAATATATATGTAATGTTTACCATTGAAAATGCAACAAAAAAATATAAATAATGCAATATCTTGTTTTATATGTATATTCAACCTGGGAGAGACACTGTGGCAAAACAACCAGCTAATTGTGAACGAAGGGAATCTAAATGACGTTGCAGAGCTTGATTTGTCGTGCGTTGTTGATTTGTTTCAGACTCCAGACGATTTACAGCTGCGTACAAGCTATCTACGTGTCGTTGAAGAACAGCGTTTTGTGCCTCGTAGTCTGATGTAGCTTTTCTCAGTTGCCTTAGTTCCGCTTCACATGCTGAGTACATACGAGTACATTATACAGACACATCAAATAAATGTTAAAATAATACACTATGTATGATGAATTTGTTAAATATTTTTGTAACTTTGTTTTTTCTTCAACTTTTAATTTTTTTTCTACTTTTAATATGCAATAGTTCAAGTTAACACTACATACGTATAAAATTAATTTATTACTCATTAATATAAAGTACACAATTACCTTTATTATGATCCAAGAATTCTTCTGTAAAAATAGGAATATCAAAGCCTGTAAAATCATTATCTTTTTCTTGTTGGATATCCTAATAAAAAAAGAAACATTTTAGAATGATGATAACGATAACTTAATCTGTTCTATATGTATAAGAATCAAATACCATACATTTTGCTCAGAATTTACGTCAGTTCCATTTCTTTCCTTTTTAGTCTCCTGCTGCTTCTCTAAGGACTGTTTTTCATTAAATAAACGGTATGCTTCCGTTTGTTTATAATCGCTAAATTCACGATTATAACGTTCTTTGTCTTGTTCCGCTGCATCTAAATATTGCTGTTTCTGATCAGCGGGCAATGTACTCCACTCCGATGCGAGTAATTTTGTGATTTCAGCAAATGTCAGCGTTGGATTTTCACCCCTGACTTTTTCTCGTCGGTCGTTTAAAAACCTACGTCATTTTATTAACAAGTATTTTTTAAGAGAAAATATAAGTGTTGAATGTTCCAGAAGATTACAAAACTCAATGTTTCGTTCTATATATTTTTCAGGATATCTGTAAAATACTTTACAGAAGAAAGAATGAAAAATATTTATAATTATAAGATTAATTAGTACATTTTTTTTTTTACGATTACAAGTACTTAGCATTCTTCCATCTGTGGACTCCTGACGAGGCTCTGAAGTATATATAATATTGAAACATTGAGTTCTGAAATAATATTGCCCTTTGGCCAAATTACGATAAAATATTGGAGCAAACAGTTGAACAATTATATTTTTCCAAAGCACTGTAATCGGTAAATATACAATAAGACGAAGACCAGTTGTATATTTTTCAAACATAATTGTTCTTTTTTATAACTTTCTTAGTTATTTAAAGACATACCTAAAATAACCTGTAAGTGGTTGCTTTGGAGCAGTAGCATCCCTTGGAGCTTTTTTGCGCTTCTTGGATCTGTTAGTTGTACCAGTAGTATTACTTCCAACCCCAGAAGTTGCATTATTTTTTTTAACGCCATTGTCACACACAGAATCTGGTGCTTTATCCTCTATACTACCAGGTGATTTATCTAATAAATGAATCATCATTCTTTTAAACATATAAATAACTAAATATTATTATACAGCCAGGCCTTGATAAGTTGAAATACATTTTAAGTTACAGGGATATCTGTTTTGTGAAGACTTTCAACATAAGGTCTAACTGTAGATTCGTAGATTAATGTAATTCAATTACTGGTATGATCTTCGGTTTCTCCATTAAAAGTTGGTTGTTCTGGCCCACCATTGCTTTCAGGCACATCGATGATTGGTGCACTTTCACTCATCTTTAATAATGTATACTTTTATTTTGCTGCAAGGTTTTACTGATATTAACTAAGACTCATAACTGATTCATTAAGTTCAAAACAATAGATAGACACTATTGCCTGTAAGGTTATATAGAATTCAATATCATTTCACGATAAGTATAAACGAAACTAATTCTCGCATCACTTAATACTAACCGTAATCAATATATTTTTAATGATTTTAACGCATAGATTCATGTAATGATAATCTATTAGGTTAAGCAATGAATATGTTAACAACAATACTTCCAACCGAATGCACCTAATCGCTGTACTAAATCATAACTGCTATTAAACTGTAACGTGTATTGTACGAGTAAAAATGAATTGTATAAAACAGAAATAACACGTATTGACAAAAACACATAATCATTACATTTAGTTGGCATAAACACTAAAGCAGACTTTTCATGGGGAGCTTTCAAATGACGCTAATTCAAAGTTGATAATTTTACCACTGAACTAAAACCCTATAAAATTCCTAGATGAAAGAAGTGGCTTTTCATCCAATGAAAAGAGGCGACTTGTCGTGACGTTTAGTGATGTTGGCGACGCGACAGAGCACAATGAGTGCATTCAGAAAGTCCACCAAGCAAAGAGTCGTATTAATTATACGTTTATAAAAAATACAGAATAATTGATTAAAATGTATCAGTGGCGGCATCTTACGGAAATATTGGGAACTATTTTCATTACGAACTTCGGAATTTTTCCAACGATGGCGCCTATGGTATTAAAACCCGCTCACGGAGCGGCTTAGTGAGCGGTGACATTTTTGGATGCACCCAATCACAATCTAAGTTACCTTTAAAGTACTTTAAACGCAGTCCAACATTTAGTACATTTATTTCGTATTGTTGCAACAAAATGTTTAATTTCATGTGGTTCGAATAATAGACGAAAATTAACAACATAAGATGGAAGTAACTGATAATTCCATTATTCTCCAAAATAATAGCAGGTAAATCGTTTCACACAGTTTGTTAAAATCAATGTGATTTTAAATTGGGTTGACCGGCATTTAAGAGGTAGAAATTTACTTTAAATGTGAATGAAATAAGAGTATTATACAAATTTATTTGTTTAATATTTATTTGTATAAACTTAATTCATGTTTTTATATAATTTTTATGTAACTTTGTATATTTGAGAATTTTTACAATGTAACGATCGAATAATAAAACAATTCTTTTCTAGCATAACAGTGGCAGATTCGGTGTGGAAATTTATTAACAGCCCTATAATTGCAATCTTCTCTGACTTAAAAAATGCAACCGCAGAACAAATGCTTCGTTCCCTTTTGGAATCGATACTTAAAGGTTCAGCAACTTTAATTACAGTTTTAGTTCCACCATATAGTAATGGAATTCAAAACGAAACGTTACAAAGTCAATATGCTGGTAAAAATATGAAAAAATAAATATAACTTCTAATTCACTTTGTTTAGTTGTATTTTTTAATTTTCTATTATATTGTATTTACAGCTTTTACTACTTGGTTATTTGGTACAATGTTTTATATAATTGGAGACCCTCTAAGCAATGATATTTTAATTAACAGTATAGAAATACAAGCCTGTATGCTTAGAATATTATCCAGACATCATGTCACAATGTTTGAAACTATTAGCATTGAGTACATGAATATTCTTCAAGGTATGTAATTGTAATAGTACTCGAGTTTCAAAATTTAATGATATTAAACATTTCAGAAATATCAGAATTCTACAAAATGAAAGAAGATCGAGATGAAATTGTATTAACTAAATTTAAAACAGAAAGAAATATCATAGAAAATTTAGATCTGCAAGCATTTCCTGTTACAATCAAGTATTCAGATATACCGCTAGTACAAGTATCAATATTAAAAGTAACTTTTTATTTTTATATTTTATCTTTATGCTTAAGGACATTTTTTGGTTTGGAATTAAAAATACAAAAAAATTTTTTCTATGTAGATATTTATACATTTTCATGCTTTAGCACTTCTTTAAGTGTTTCAGATTGGAAGACCCTCTTGATAGTACTCTATTAAACTTTATATCTATTTTTTTAGATTGTAACAAAGACAGGAGTCTCGGTCTGGAATGAGAAAGCAATTTCAGGCACTATATTGAAAACAATTACTGTATCTGTTCCAAATGTAAAGTTTATGGCATTAAGTCTTAGTGTAAAATTAATGGAATCTTCCTTAATTAATAAACAGGTAAGCATACAATAATTGCATATTGAAATACAAATATATTAGAAATTACACTTTTATTTTAAGGAACTTGAACATTTAATTCTCTATGCCATTGAGATTGTTAAAATAATTTCTACATGGGTAGATTCGAATGAAGTATCAGGAAATGAGTTACATTCATTTGTAGATATGCTTACTCAATTTATTCGAACATCGCCAGTATGTCCAAATTCTATTGAATTATGCTTTCAAGTCATTGACCTTATTGTTTATGAATTAACACGTAAGTAAACTAGAATATGAATACCTTCAATATTTTTTTTATAACAAATTATAATTTGAAAATTAATGTTTAGGTTACAATAATAATCCTGAGAGTATAACGATACTGAAAGAAGTAGTATGTAACAAAATTAAACAGTATTTTATAAAGGAACCAAGAATCTGTAGTTTATCCGAAGCGAAAAAGTTTATCTCATATTTTGAACATTGTCCAGTTTGTATCAATTAAACTACTTAATTTATCTAATTAATATATAGATAATATGAAAGGTAATAATATTAAATATTTTCAGGACTTTATTATGATTTTTATTCAATATATTTTCACCGATATTAAGCATACTGCTAGTACAAATAATTTAATTGGTGATGTCTGTGAATCATGGAATTTATTGAGAAATGAATTAATAACTGTGACACGAGAAAGAAAGTTTGAAAGAACTATGCATATTTTGCGAACTTCGCATATTTTACAGTCTTGGTTGAAGGAATTAAAGTTGCAATTTAATTTGTACACGACTGATTTAGATGATGTTTTAAAGATACTTTTGGAAACCATAAATTCTGGACAATACCAGCAAAAGAAAAATATTTTTGAATGTTTCATTTATATGATGGCGCACGATGAATCAAATAAAGATTTAATTCAAAAACTTTTAATTTTACCATTTACTCAGCATATTGAAATTCCTCAAGGAATAATAAATAATCATGTGAAAGAAGCTGCTAGATCTCTTGATATTGCAACAATGTTAAAGTGCCTTGAAGTTCTTTGCGAATTTGGTAATGGAATGGAGCGACTTAAATTGTTAAATACTTGCATATTAAATTCTAAAACTGAGTTAGCTGTGGGAGCACTACTGTAAGTACATTATTTTTGAAAATTTATATAAGTTCATATAAATAAAACAATTTATAGGAGTAGCGTTCTACTTCTGAAGAACAATCAAATACAATTGGTCGATATGTCAAAATATATTCTTCAAACTGCATTAAATTCAAAAGAAGAAAAAGTTCATGAAGTGCTAGTGATTGTGTTGGGAAAAATCAGTTGTTATTTGTCAGGACATGCAGACTTTATAAGGTAATTTTAAATGATTGATTAATCCACTTGTATAACGAACAGATATCGAGTAAAATATTTTTCCTAACAGAGAATTAAATAATACAAAGTGGACGATACACTGCAAATGTTGTACAGACAGTTGTGCAAGTAATTCTAATGTATATCATGTCTCTGAAGAATACGATTACCTCCTCAGCCAATGTTTTAGTTTGTTATCTTCAAAATGCGTATCAGTGCGTTTACGTATTTCTGAAAATATTCTCTCTTTTTCGAATCACATAAAATCGTTTAATGACAATGAAATAGCAAGAATATGGTGTTCGTACATAGAAGATGAAAATTCTGTGATTCGTTCTAATATTGCTGAAGCAATAAAAGGAATATTAAACAATAAAATAAATATTGTGGCAAAATCTCTGGCATACGTAGAAAATGATGTACCTACTTTTTTAGATGAATTTGTAGATTTACTAATTAATACTATAGCAAGTGCTCTTATGAAAGCTCTAAAAAATTCCAATCATGCTTTACACGATACTTTGCTTATTACAGCTAGAAACTGTACAAGGTAAGATAAATATGTAATATTATTTAGCTTCTGTAAATATATATAAATTATTAATATTTTACTTTCAGTATTCCATTATACATAATGGAGAGACCAATTTTGAATATATTTCTCATTTCTATATTATATTCAACATCATCTCCAGCAGCAGTAGCGTACGCTACAACCGCGTATCACGACTTTGCTAAATTCTTAAATGTTTCTCCTAAAGCATTATACGTTCGGTATAAGAAAGACTTTATTAAGGTAAATAAATAATTTTACTAAAATTAAAATGAATGATAAAATTGTATTTTCGAGTAATACATGCATTTGATTTATTTTAGCTCATAATGCAGTGTGCAGTCCAAAATTTTATAAATTGTTCCTACAACATGGCCACATCGATACACCGTGTTGCAAAGTGTATTGGATACGAGGGTTCGCGTCAATTGTTGCGTAAAGATGGCCATTATGCAATCTGTTTCTTGCTTTCCTTCATTGTTAATATGCCGAATGCAAAAGCTCTTTTGAGTGATATAGCTGAATTGATCAGTATGGATGAGAAACAAATGTTGAAAGAATATTTTCCTGTATGTATTTAAAATACAAATCTAGTCGATTTTGTATTACACTTGTTTAGTAATAATTCATATGATTTTTTGCAGTATATTTGCAGTTACGCATTTCTAAACATGCCTCTAGCAGCTGCTACAGAATGTTTACGATTAGTCTCCAAACTTGCTCACACAAATTTATCGCTTCTGACAAGACAATCATTTATGGTAAGAAAAATAAGCTTACAAGCATGACTGCATCATTAAAATTCAATATTAATATCGTCTACAAATGTGATTATTAGGATATTTTTGAAGAGCTGATGTTATATTTTCACGAATCTCCGGAAAAGATAGTTGGGTTATTAAAAATTATATCCGATTACGATACTACTACAGAAAAAAATTTTATTACAAGAAAAGGAATTGTACGTTTGTATATTTACCAGCGTGTATTAATAAAAGAAATATTGAATTTAACATAAGTATAATATGTATTTGTATTATTTATAGAAATCTTATTTGAATTTACGATTGCACGGTATATTAGTTAACTTTGATATAAAACTTGGATCTAAATCGGATGAACATACACAGCAATCTGCGCTTGCTTCGTTAGCTGCATTAATGCGATATATGGGAGCAGAGTATTTAACACCGTTAAGGTATAAAATTCTAGCAACGTTACGAACGTCGCTTGGGTTTAAAAGGCCAGGATTTGGACTTCTCGTATGCGATGCATGGAATGCATTTATTCATAAGTATGTTAAAACACAAAAGGAAATACGTTATTAAGCCTAAAATTGTGTAACTGTTCTTGTTTTAATGTTTCAGCATAGCTATCGCAGAACTTGGGCCTTTATTGCCTACTATATGCGTATCATTGATAACATTATTAAAAATATATCCAGAAAAAGTGATTGCAATGTTAAAGTTCCTTATCATCGAGTGCAATGAAGAAAATTCTAATCACATTGCAGAATTGTTTTTTATAGACGACATAGACGTTCCTGGTGACATTTCAAATATAATTAAAGCGCGAATTTTGCAAACCAGGTATGCAAAATATAATCTTTATGTTGCACGTTATCCAATTAATAGTTCGCCTTTTACTTTGTGCTAACAACTATGCATTGTATGGATTCTAGGCCCAAAGGTTTCGAAGCAAATTTAAAGTTGTGGCTTAAACGAGTTACTCATGAAACGGATGAAGTACGAATTAGGGCTTTGATATATTTGCAAAAATTTCTGGCAGAACACCGAAGCCAACTGAACGAAATGATTCTAAGCGAAACAGATATCCATCCACTGATCGTTGATGTATGTTTCTCCTTTAAAATAATAAATGTAGGTATTAATTATGTATTAATCAGTATCAATTTTGTAGCTACTGGATACGTTATTAATTGGATGTCACCATACAGATGAATGTATCCGTTTATTGTATGGAGAATGTTTAGGAGAATTGGGTGCTATCGAGCCAAGTCTTCTACCCCGGAGAATTATTGCCCGAGGTATATATTAAATTAGTTTCAAATTATTACTTTACCGTTTATACGTTGTACATATTAACATTCTTTTGACATTCCAGATGACAGTAAATTTATTTCTGATATGAACGAAGAATTCGCTTGTGCTATACTCTTTGAGCATGTGCGGGCATTTCAAATGCAAAAGAGCAGTCAGAGTATGGACTGTTTTTCACTTGCTATTCAAGTATGCAATATAATAATTTAAAAGCTTTGTATAGTAAACATGTGTGTAATTTTAAGGATACATGTGATTCTAGGAAATTTTAAAAGCATATGATATTTCACCTGAAGGTAAAAATAGTGAACTGTGGGATAACCTACCTTTGACTACGAGACAAATTATCTCTCCCTTTTTAACTTCGCATTACAAAATAGCAGCTGTCAGCAATGATAAAAAGTTTCCACATCCTATTTATGGGTAAATAAAAAAACCTCAACATGATCTTTTATACATGACATTGTACTAAATGTACATCTTCTGATCCCTCAGTTCTGAAGCTGGTTCTTCCGTCGAAAATTGGGCTTACAATTGGCTTTGCAGTATGTTTAACGACATCTACGATGAAAGGCTCAATAGTGTATTACGTGCGTGTAAATTAGCACTTAAGCGAGATATAAAAATACTCACATTTTGTTTGTTACATGTTGTGTGTAAGTAATACTGGTAATATTATTTTAGTAATACTCTTGTGTTTCCTTTAATGAGAAGATACAAACATGAGTCAAAGCAAACAAAATATTCGTTTTGAAGAAAAAAACATTCATTCCATTATCAGAATATTTATTCCTTTAAAAACGAACAGAACTTTGACTTCTTTTCATATCTTCGAAAGAAATACCATGTACATATATGAATGCATATTATGTATTTTCTATTTTTTGTATTCACCAGCATACATAGTAACAAATGCCACAGACAAAGAACATACAAGAATACGAGAGGAAATGTTGACAATAATCGATGTTAAGAAGAAACCCACACTTGATCCTGAATTGTCGCGTCATCGACCGCTAAGACATGGGCATAGCGTAAAGGCAGACGATACAAGAATCTCTGAAGAAACTAGACGAACGCGTTGTGCACAGGTACATAAATTAAAAAGCACTATCTTTGCTGTTCAATGAATAATTTGTTTCATAATTTTTGGACAGATCGTATTTTCAGTATTAGATCATTTGCAAAGATGGCTTTGGGAACAACGATTAAATCGTAATCATAAGTATGAAGCAGTAAAAAGTAAGTCATTTGATGTGGATTATTAACTGTAGGTTTACTTCTAATGCATCTTCTTTTCATACTTGTTTAGATTTCTGTGAGAAATTAAATTCATTGGTAGTGGCTGAAGGTTGTTATCAATCTCGAGAATATCATAGGGCTCTAATGTATTTAGAGCAACATATGGCTTCCTCTAATAAGGGATTATCAGAAGCACTGGAGGGTGGATTGCTAGCTGTAAGTAAACTCTAAAGTGATATAACTTCAAAATTAACTTTACAGTTTCTTTTCCTGTAGAAAATATATGCACAATTGGATGAGCCGGATGGTATATCAGGTATACTAGCTACTCAAGATCATACTCCTACGGTTCAGCAATTAGTTTTAGCTCATGAAGTCAATGGACAGCTTCAGGTATGATATAATTTATTTTCAAGTACATTTAATATATTTAAAGCTTTTATAAAATGTATAGGATGCAGCTACATGTTACGAAAGACTAGCACAAAAAAAAACATTAAAACATACATATTTGCAAGGCATGATACAGTGTTACCTTGGTCTCGATCAGCCTTTCACAGCAAAACATATTACCGAAGGAGTTTTGAGCAGCAGGTAATTATATATATAGATATCGAACGAATATTCTTTTTAATAATACGTATCCTTGAAAAATTATATTTTAGACCAGAGCTAGAACCATTAATGATCGAACATGAACCTTTTTGGAGATTGGCACATTTCACTAGACTTGATGATACTTCGCAAAAAAATATAAAGCATACTTTGCTCGAAGATTTAAAGAAAGGCGTGAAACCAGATTTACTATCATTAAAGAAAAACCTAGTATCGTTGCTAGAAGATGCTTCACGCCCGGGAGCTTATCAACAATGTTACTCCTACATCATGAAGTAAGATTCGTATTTAAAATCATGCTAAAAACTTGAAGAATAGTGTTTATTACAATTTTGTATGATTAATAGACTACACATATTAAATGAGTTCGACAAAGCAGTTTCTACCATGTTAACTAATATAGAGCAACTTCCAATGATATTTGAAGAGTGGGAAAAGCGTGGCCAACTCGTCAGAGCTTCGCGTGGAGTTGAATTTGTATTCAGTATGCGTAGAGCAACGTTAGATTTAGCAGTTCAATTACAGAAAGAAATCAACAATAAAGAAAATTCCATACTTAAACAAGAAATTGGCAAGATTTGGCTTAAAAGCGCCAAGATTGCGAGAAAGTATGTATTTTTATTTGTAAGTGCTAATTATCTTTTTCTAATTGATCGAGTATTCAAATTATATTTATTTTATCAGGAGGGGATTGCATCAACAATCGTACATGTATATTTTATCAGCTAGCGATTCTTGCCCACCGCAACAACTTTACATAGAACAAGCTCAGTTATACTGGCAGAAAGGATGCCAAGAAGATGCTTTTACAACATTAAAACGATGCTTTTCCAGTTGCTTTCAACCCTCTGCATATTACAAAACATTGGCATCGACAGAGCGTATAGAAGAAAGAAAACAATGTGCAAAGGTTTGTTTACAAGAACAGGATAAATTGTCAAAGAATAATATTAATTTTCGTTAATTTCTAGGCAAAACTTTTGTATGCAAAATATAATGATGAAACGGTTAATGTAGATACCGATGCTAATATTATAAATTACAAGGAAGCTATTGAAGTTTGGAGAGAATGGGAAAAAAGTTTACTTTCCTGTGCACAGTATTACGAATCTGTCATAAATAGAATGACTGACGATGAAAAAGATAGCAGAGGACGGTAACTATCATCTAAATACTATAACATTATATATGTAATATAATGTTCGTTATTAACACACAATACTTTTAGAGATTTACAAGTGCACGCTATGAATTTTTATGGGAAGTCACTTCAATATGGTTGCAAATACATTCATCAGTCTATGCCAAGAATGTTGACTATATGGTTGGATTTTGCTTCTCGCATGACATCCCGAACTGTACAGTATGGTAATCGAGAAGTTGAAAAACTTCGACGAGATGCGTTATTAAAAATGACAAAAATTATGGGTAAGGATTTGTTATTCTCAAGTTTAACTCGATTGTGGACTGAAAGATTTTGCTTCTTCCCCTCATCTGTTTACTTAAAGGGGTATTCTAGTCTAGAGGCGAATTGAATTCGAGAATAGTAAAATTAGAATTGAAAATTTGAGCAATATTTTCTTATTGTACAGAAGTATATCAAGAAAGGCTACCAATATTTATGTGGCTGACAGCATTCAGCCAACTCATATCTAGAATATGCCATCCCTCTACGGAAGTGCAAAATACTCTTTGTACAATAGTAGTAAAGCTCATTTATGCATATCCCCAACATTGCTTATGGATGATGGCATCAGTTATCAATGTAAGTTCTCAAATTATTAAGTAGTTAAATAGATTTAAATTTAAAGTATATGTATATTTCAGTCTTCCTACCCTGCACGTCAAAGACGTTGTCAAGAAATACTCAATAACTCTAAATTTAAAACTGCTGAAATGACAAAACTTATTAAAGATTTCCACACATTATGGGAAAGACTAATCGAATTATCCAATAAAACAATTCCAGATGTAAGGTCTAAAATGAATAAAACATACTTCATTAAAATAAATAAAATATTACATATCTATGATTTTCCAATAGGGCGTCATGAGTACTACGGTAAATCAATTATCGCAAAACCTTCCCCGTTTACTTTCACATAGAGATTTTAGCCAAATTATGATGCCGACAACCAAGTTTAGACAATTTCATCTGCCCTCTAAGGGCGTATCATTGGAAAATCACAATCCATTTTCATCGTACGTATAGTATTACACGATACTACTCAAAGCATCTATCGTGTATCATATATTATGAATAGAATAATTTTGTTCATAAATTTGCAGCAACTGGATTCACATAGCTGGAATAGAAGGGAGTGTAGCCATTATGCCATCTTTGCAAAGACCGCGACGTATTGCTTTAAAAGGGTCAGATGGTAGGCAATATCTTTTCATGTGCAAGCCAAAAGACGATTTACGAAGAGATTTTAGATTAATGGAATTCAACGATATTGTAAATAAGTATCTTCAAAATGATCCAGAATCGCGACAAAGAAGATTGTACATTCGAACATATGTAAGTTTAAATAAAAATATTATACGTTAAGTTATCTCGTAACGCAGTATATTTTATTTATATTATAGAGCGTTGTACCCTTAAACGAAGAATGCGGTTTAATAGAATGGGTACCGAATCTAGTTGGGTTTAGACCTGTTATAATAAATTTGTATAAAGAAAGAGGTATTGCAATTACAAATAGAGAACTTAAGAGCATGTTGTGCGGTAAGTAGAAGTAACATTATGCGAAAGTGAATTCGAAGATTTCGAAATGCGAAGTGAAATTCTATTTATTGAATAAATGCGTAGTTTTTATCTGTTTGTCACATTGCAGCGTTGAAAGATCCTCTGGAAAAAAAGAGGAAGGTATTCTTAGAGCAACTCTTACCGCGACATCCCTCAGTTCTTGGAGACTGGTTTCGCCTCACATTCCCCGATCCATATGGATGGTAAGTTTTCTGATTAATCCTATAAAAGAAACAATATTTATCATTCGAGTACACGACATATAAAACGAAAGAAATTTGCAATACAGGTACGAAGCACGTACCGCGTACATTAGAACTACAGCAGTAATGTCCATGGTGGGCTATATTCTTGGCCTTGGAGATCGTCACGGGGAGAATATACTATATGACTCTAAATGCGGAGATTCTGTGCACGTGGATTTCAATTGTTTATTCAACAGGGTACATATAAAGCTGCAAATTAACTATGAACAGCGAGCAATTTAAAATGCATTTATTTCGTTATTAATCCTTGTATTTAGTAAAATAAGATATTAACTAAATAGTGTTTATACACTAATCATAGCAAGTAGTAAATTCAAATTGAAATTATCAGGGAGAAGACTTCGACTGGCCGGAACGTGTGCCATTTCGTTTAACACATAACATGGTAGATGCTATGGGACCGTTAAAAATTGAAGGACCATTTAGACGTGCTTGTGAAATAACTATGAGGGTTCTTCGACAACAATGTAGCACTTTATTAAGTGTACTCACTCCATTTGTATACGATCCACTTGTAAGCTGGAATAAGAACCATACTGGCGAAGGAGGTGAAAAAACAAATGAAAAGGTATACAATATATATAATAATGAAGTAAATTGTTAATATCAATATTGACTACAACGTTAAATATTTTAGGCTGTAGTACATATAAAGAATATAGAACAACGGCTAAAAGGTTTAATACGATCTCATGGGAAAAAATTAGAAAATATTGCCTTGAATCTTAGTGTCGAGGGACAAACTAACCATCTAATTCTAGAAGCAACAAACATAGATAATCTTTGCCAAATGTATTTTGGTTGGGGTGCATATATGTAACAAGTATTATAATGTATAAATTACCTGTATATAGGAAAAACATGCATTACAAGTATTTAGAATGATACAAATCAATTCTTTGGTCTCAAGGTTCTGAATTGAAACGTCGAAGCATCATAAAATATGAAAGTGCAGTACTAAGTGTCTGTAAATGTATGTAAATAAAGTAATTGTTGTATAGTATTGTATACTAAGTATTGTAATAATAACAATTTTATATATTTTTATACATAAATTAGCATTAATAAAATTTTTACCGATGTGAAGTTTTCTAAATGCATTACGTATATTTTTCCAGCGGTAACGTAACTAGGTTTTTGAGAACGTAACATGAGCATGCACACTTCATTCTTAATGAAAGCTGGCAATTCGTACCACTGTATAAAATATACAGCTCTATTTAAACTAGAACTCTGTAGCAATATGAGATAGTTTAATATTTAATATATGTATTGTGAATACTAGAGTTTTGTATGAAATTTATTACCTCGGAGATTAAAATGTCTCCAGGGAAACAGAATAGTAATAGTTGAAAAAGTGCCATCGTAAAATGAGAAAAGTATCTAATTAATTTAGATTTTTCCATTAATGCCTATAATTAAATAATATGTATCAACCATTATACTATAATTTATTTATTTTATACCTTGTTATAATTTTGAGTAAATTTAGAATCATGCTTACTACAGAAACCTGAAATCCGACGAAACAAATTATAAGGGAGCTGGCCATAGTTTGCAGAAAGAGGATTAAATGAAAATTCTTTTCCATATTATCACAAAACCTAAATTTCAATTAGATGGATGAAAAACTAATCAAATTCATTTATGCACATTCAATTAATTTACCAAAGAATTACTTGATGATGTTTAATTACATGCACCACTTGAATCTTTATTTTACATAATTTTGCCCTTATAGCTTTCGAGTTGTTCTTCAAAGTATTTATCTATGAAATATGAAATTTGATTGAACGATACCGTTGCATAAAGTCAGAATTTTATGTAAATAGCATACCATACTTACACAATAAATGTCGGAATCTAGTTGTTTTAAATTTCCTTTAAGAATTTTGAAATGCCCACATGTATGAAGTAAAGCAGTTGCAATTAGGGTGTCAGTTGCAAGTATCATCAGGCCACAGACAGTCGTTGCCAGTATTTGAGATACATAAATAATCTATGTATGCATTTGCATAAATTAAATAAATCAAATTTGAAATTATGTCAGAGTTATAACGAAAAATAAATGATTTGCGTACGATACCTCGTAGAAGGGAAAATTATAGAAAGCTAAAGGATACAATGCAACAAATGGAAAACTCTTCTTTGTTAAATTATTAGTCGAATCTTGCATTGTAGTAATAAGCGTTTCAATAATGGGTAAACTAAAGAAAAATAGTAATGCATTAAATATTAAAAATAAATATCCCTTTGTAATGTTTTTAGCACGTCTGAAAAAACATATATACTTTATTTATATTGAAATAGTATTAACGCTAATCTTAGCAGCATTAATGATTATTTACATTGCATACTCGTGTTGTAAATGCCCAAAAACATCAGTTCTAACTATTTTCCAATAATCTATTAACATGAAATTTATAAAAGGTTCCAAATTTGTTCGATTAAACATCCAAATTAATGATTTTAGTATAGAAAGTGAAATTGTGAGTAAAACTGAACTGAAAAAAAAACAAAATTATTTACTTAGTAAAAGCTGTTTATCAAGCTAAATTTTAAGTGCCACAATTTTAAACGTATCCAAACCTTGTTTCCAAAAGAATATTGAGATTTTCCAAATTTATATAAATTTGTGCTATTAGTGGTATCACGATAAGTATAATACAACTAATGCATACAATGTATCTCACAATATTTATCGGGTAAAGTCCAACAAACTTGAGCACTAACTGATTTATGAATATATAATTTTCAATATTCATTATATTTATACTGTTAACATTGATAAAAAAGTATGGTTTGCTAAAGAAATATGCATTAGTAATTTTAAACTTTGTCTACTACAAGGAATATATTCTAAGCAAACAACACATCCGTAAATCTAATAGTCCAAATAACTGATAATATGAAGATACTGCTACTATCTTAAACAATTTGGAATTCATCCATATTTTACACTAATTTCTACTTTACTGAACAGTTTGCTTTTAAACGGACACATACTGTGACTTGAAAGTAGTCGATTATTAGTATCAATTGTTAAGACCATAATGATACATTTGCTTTATAGAATATTCTGAACTTTGATCTTGTACTAAGGCAATTAAAAAAATATAGTCGTATGTACACCACTTACTTCACTAGTACAGTAGCTCATTAAATGTGTTTAATATAATGATAGGTTTCCTTTGAAACTGTACCTTTTAGTCATATATTATTTACATATAATGATTCTGCTACTACATACAATTTCAAAGGTGTACTTTTAAAAGAAAATTACAGTTCGTTACTCATTCAATTTCACGAGGAGAGACTGGCTTTACAATTGTATTCTAGTCCAAGGGGAAATACACGTGACGAAGGAACCTTGATAGAGATGGGAAAATGTTATTTCCGAATAATGAATATAAAATTTTAGATTTATTCGTGAAGATTTTCTAAAACCGATATCCAAGCAAACGAAGCGAAGACAAATGCTAGTTTACAACTCGATCTAAAATATGTATTCGGAAATAAAATAACCCATTTTTGAACAGTGACAATCGTGTACATTAATTTTGAAGACGTGTATTGCTGTAAGTTTTTATAAAAATTTTAATACAACTTGTATACACCATACCTTATAAAATTTTATTGCGTCTACGTGGTGCATTGATAATAAATAAAACTCCCACTTTTGACGGTATATTTTACAAGTCATTATTCGATATCACGTATAAGTAAAATATACTTATTCATGTCTTAGGTCAATATTGAGAACACACTTGTTTTAAACAAATGTTAAAAAAAGTTAAATTTCTCATTGTATTTATAGACTTTAATTTGTTTAAATGTAATCTTTCATACCTATTTACTTATAAAGTAATCATCAAGGAAATGTTTGTACAAATATTGATGATATTATTAGACGAAGATGAATGAAAATAAATAATTTTCTTAATTCAAGGACATTTCCGTTCTACTTGACTTTTCCCACTTTCTTCGTATTCTTGGCTTGAAATCCACATTTGTTGAAAAGTACCAATCGATGCCAAAATAGACCCACCGATCCAAGCTCCAAATCGTCGTTCGGTGCATCCGTTTACGCTAATCAATTTCAATCTCATGCTAGATGGTATTCTCATAGAGAGGTCTCTATTCAAACGCTCCGGGAAACCCTAAATAATATATTGATAACAATGTAAACGAATTTTCGAAATGCTATACTTTTATTTATAATATTCTAGTTGTACCTGAATAAATGAATTGCCACCAGTAACAACAACACTTCCATACAGAGCCGGTCTAACGTCAACGTCGCACATGCCTACGCTAGTTGTTACAATATGACCTACTCCCAACATAGTATTACCAACCATACCACCACGCATTTGTACCATACTAGGATCAAAGAGTGCTTCTGGTATTCGAAATCTTTCGCTTCCAAAATCCTTTAAATGTTATTAATATTTGTTAGACACTGATATTCTAAAAATAATACACGTTGCGTTAATGTGAAATACCTGATGATATCCAGTAGGAAACTCATACTGTACAGCAGGAATCGTGGAAACTATTTTTTCATCATATGGAGTTTCAGATACTTGTAATACTGTAGCTTGAAAATCCTGGATGAGTTTCTTTACCATGTAATTATGCCAGGACTTAGTAACTTCAGGCAAACCTTTCTTTTTTACCCATCGTGGTTTATCGTGATCTTTTACAACTTCTTTACTACCCACCATGTACGAAGGAGACAGATCAATGTCGTTATCCTGTTATTATTTAGAAAATGTAATTATTTAATTTTCCTATTCCTTAAAATAGGAGTACTAATTATATTTATACCTGGAGAAATTGTCTACACTGCATACTTATGTAATCTCCTCCAAGTGGAGATTTGACTATTGCTTGCGTCAATACAAAGCCATCTTGAACAGGCACAGCAGATGTATGCGTTGCACCACTGTCAACAACAATACCAGTTGCTCTACCATTTGCAAATGCAGCAAGAACTGCATTTTTAACAAGAAAATAAGCTGGCACATTGTACTTTTCAAACATTAATTCAGTTAGTTTTTCTCTTTTACTGCGTACATTCCATGGTGATTCAGAAAATAATACTGGGTGATACTCCGCATCAGATTGAATTACTTTGGAATATGTGTAATCTAAAACCTATCAAAGGACACATAATAGTATCGCATACATGTGCAATTTGAAAATTCAAAATGTTATTTAAAAACGTTACCTTTTCAAAATGATCCCAATCTTCGATCATACCATCTTTCATATAACTTACAACTTCCATATTCTTTCGTGGAACATGTAGTATAGTAGTGTCGATATAATATTTGGTTCCAGACTGGGTAATATTATTATCTGGCTTTTTGTCATCAATGTCCATAGGTTCTGTTTTTGTTGCTGTACAATTGCCATCTTCTCCTACACCTACAACCGCTGGAATTTCAGCTTTTGGAGTATCTTCTTGAGCATAACCAACTCTTAAAGAATGATGACCTAAGTCGAATACTAAAGCTCCAATTTCATCACCTCCATAAAGCATTCCACCAGACATATTGTTGGTTTGAAAAATACCTGTTACAACAATAAAATGACTTTCAGAAGTGTTCAGAAACACTTTTTCCGTAATAATTAATATAATCTCATGATTGTTGTTTGTATTAACAATAAAAAGGAACAAAGAAACCAACTTCTGTCATAAAAACAATACAAATGCTACATTTACTACATACAAGCCGGAACGGTTGATCATTCATTTCGAATTAATACATTAGAAATAAATCTATATCGTAACTTTACGACTCACCGTAACTTCTCTACAAAAATAACTCAATGAAATGGTAAAAATATATGTACTTGACGACTACATGAACGTTTATTTACGTATTTTGTTTTAACGCAACAGAAACATAACCTCAACTCAGGAAGACGCTTAGTGCCGCCACCATAAACTGCCATGAATGCAACAATTTTGAGATTGGCCTACTACATCAAATTACGAAATTCACGGACACAGGAATATGTATTCTATGAAATTCTACTTCAGTCTTCCATCGGGAAGAGAGGAATTTTATTTGTCGAAAACAGGAATCATCATATTAATTTGAAAAATAATTGATTTTCTATCAAATCATTCCTGAGGTATAATGCAACGTAAAGACCAACATACATATATACATATATATACAGGGTGTCCCAAAAATGTTGGAGGTCCTTGAAAAAAGTGGTTCAGGGGGTGATTTGAAACAACTTTTTCCTTAGCGAAATTGTTGTCCGAGGCTTCGTTGAGGAGATATTAACGGAAAACACTGACCAATCAGAGCGCGCGTATACTGTTGGAGCGGACACGATAGCGATGGCTACGCGTTAGGTAGCCGCTCTCGTACGCGAACAAGTGACTCCGACGTGCATCGAAGGATATTGACGCGGCGCGGCCGCTCCAACGGTATCCGCGCGCTCTGATTGATCGGGTTTTTTTATTAATATCTAGTTAACGAAGCCCCATCTGATATTTTTGCAAAGGCAAAAGTTGTTTCAAATCACCTCCCGAACCACCCCTTTCAAGGACCTCCAACATTTTTGGGACACCCTGTATATATATGCATACATACATATATGTATATATGTATATTTATATATAAATATCGAATTTTGGAAATATTTTTCAAAAATTTAACGATATTAATGTCTTTTAAATAGAAATCATCGTATTAAATTTCATGATTGTTTACAAATTATTTCTGAGGTACAATGCGAAGAAAAGGCCAACATAGACATAAATACCGAATTTTGAAAACAATTTTCAAATTATGATTTTCTATCAAATTATGAGGTATAATGCAAAATGAAGACCAAAAGTACATGTAAATATCGAATTTTTAAAACGGTTTTATTTATTGCATGAGAGCTTCGTTCATTGTAGTTCTCTGGGTTCACCAAAGGAAGAGATGGTCACTTACTATTAGTAACAAGTGAAGTTATAAAGAGGAAGTAGGGTTCTTTTATATTTGATTGGTTATCTTGATTCACTATTATGTATTAGTATAGTTCAGTCAGTCCTTGATTATGTATGAAATGCCTCGACACCTTCCATACTTACCACTAGAGGGCAACCAACCAATTCTTTTCTTGCAAGTGCTGGTAGGTACTGAAAGATTTCAAAAATTTCCAATTATTATACATATACATATATATATATAAAGTCTGACTAATTGTAAGTTATTAAATTTTTTAGTGTTTAAAACAAAGGTTTTCTAGGTAGGCTAGATAACCTAGAAGGAAACGTTCTCTCTTCGTTTTCTCGTACCCTACACTTTTTACAGAACTTCAATCATTGTAGAAATTTTCAGCGCCATTTTTTTGAAATAATCGAGGTTCTACTATCTTCCTCTTTGTTGCATTTAACAACAGGGAAACCAAAACCTAGTGGAAACAAGTATTAATACTACTAAATAAAGGCTTTTAAATAAGCTTATATAAATAAGCACTTGTGTGGTTTTTTTAATACTTTTTATGAACTAGGTTTAACTAAATGCGGTATCATAAGTTGTTGACAATTGAACGACTAATTGGAGCAAAAAAAATGAATGTTAGAAAACAAAATAATATTTTTATTTTTAAGAATACTATCACGTACTATGTACTTTTCCTTTTTTATGTGGAAACAATTTATAAAATACATTTGCCAATTACACGAGTAGGCTGTGGCCAATTCATTTTATAAACACATCAATGAAATAGTTATTTATCACACTTAAAAGTCACATTTTCCTTGGACAAGAAAGATGAGATAATTTGTATTCTAAATAATACGACATACAAAATTTATTATATCGAACTATATAGTATATATTCTCTAAGTTCAAACAGCAGAAGAAGTAAAGGAATACTCATCAGATTAAATCTAGATAAGTGTATTATTTTTCATTGTTGTATTCTGCTTTAGATATTTTCGTTGCGTTATGTAATTTCCATGTTTCCATTGTTTGAATAAAATGGGACTGAGTTTAAAAATGTTCTTTCTTTAATTAGGGTTAAAAAAGAAATTTGCAAACAGCAGGCAATCAAGTATTATTTATCGAAGAAACGTTCATATAGAATAACGACGCCTACCTGAACAATTTGGAGGAATAATATTTGCAAATAATTCTTAATTAAGGATCTACGGGATGTACAATCGAAGACAAACGTATATAAAATTTTAATTAATCAAAATATCTTTGTAATTACAACACTTAAATGAACAAATTTATAATTATAAGCTTGTTTTTAATGTCAAATTTCTAATTTATCACGATGTTTTTTTTAAATTTATTTAATTCAAGAATTTCATTTTTAATATTTTTAATCATTAGTAAAACAACATTTGGTATTGAAAATACCTTGAATTCAATGTGAAATAATGAAGATAAACCTTTCTTTTGTATATCTAAAATGAATGATATAATTTATTTAAAGATACTTCACAAACATTCGAAGACAAATGTGTGTATGTATGTATCGTTAGAATTTTGAACTTAGTAAAACGACTACAAATTTTTTGCGGGATTTTGGGAAACTTGTTAAAATAAACTAGAATTTTTTTAATAAATACTATTTTAATATATCTCCGAAACATCTTTGAACAAATGCTATTACGAAATGGCTTTTTCTTTGGCTACGGTAAGAAACATTTAAACCACCTGTTAATTCGGTGAGTTCTCACTGATAGCGTTGCGATCGCGAGATCGTACAAAATGGCGGTGGAAGTCAGATCGTTGAACGACTCGAGACAATGCGGAGGTGTATAGCCGTCCTTTAGCCATGTTCTATCGTCGCGTTCGCGGCAGTGTTGTGCGATAATGAGGTTCGCGAATGCAAGACTCGATTCGTCGTTTGACAGGAGACGGTGAGGCAAAGGAATTGGCATGTGTTCTCTCGCTAGAACATTGTATGCTCGTGCAGCGATCGCGTGAAGAAATTACAGTGGGTTTTCGTACGCGTCGGAGTCTGTGACACCCGCTGGCCCAATGGAGCCGCGTATTCTCGCTGTCCTGTTGGCTTTGTTGACATTCGTCGTACTGGGTAAGTCCGATGTATTTTTACCGTAAAAATACAATGTCTGGTGTTATTTATGCCGAGTAGATCACACTCGGTTGCAAATTCTATCAAAACTCTGTGTGTTATTAAAAAATGATTTAAATCACAGGTGTATACATATATACATAATGAAAACGCCTTCTTGCTACTATTCAGACGAAAATGCCACTCTATTTTGTTACCTTTTGTTCAATATTTCAATCGCGTATCGCTTCGCAGTTGCCACTGTTTGCGTCTCGTCCCATCGTAGTAGTAGACAAATATTTACGAGACCGTTCCGCGATTTTCTGTTTGCTAATCTCTTAACGCCCGGAGATTACGCTATGGAAAACGTTCTCGGATCCCTGCTCGAGAATCCAAATTATCAGACTGTGAAATATCGATTGATTTTTCGACGAAAATTTACACGCGCAAGTAGTCGAGCCTCGAGATTGTTTAGGTAGCATACCCGGCACCGATTAAAACTTACAAACCATGTGATATGTATCTCGAACGATCGTGAAATAAAAATCGTTTCTACGTTCGTTGTATACAATACACTTTTATAACGTCCTATCATTATAGAAGTAGTTGTTTCATTATATCGTTTACCACCGTATAGCTTTGAATTAAATAACGAGCCATTTGACGATCAGTACTCTCTCTATGCCGAACGAGACGAACGAAAACAATGTACGAACAAAGAATTGTGTATAAATCTAAACGAATAGTGTAATAAAAAAATCGTGGAATGTTGGTAAACAAAACTGGAATGTATAACCCTAGTAGCATTTACGGTTGGTTTCCAATAGTTGGGATATAGTTAGTGCTTTTGCCTACAAATGCCCAAATAAGGGCCTACGTTAAAAGGATTATGACAATTTTCCTACAAATACCCAATGTTGGGCTAAAAATTACTATAGTTGGTTAAGGGGTCTGGCCACCCTGAGCGCTCGCCAGATGGGTACTATTCTTAAAAAATTCATAAATGCGAAAGTATAGAAAAAAATATTTTTATAGCAAAAAAGATAACAAAAAAAAAATGGTGGCGGTTCGAAAATTTTGGTGGAGGCCTTCGGCACGAAACGCGCGTGGGCTGTTCCATCATTATATTCTTTAGGTTGCATGTGAAAAAGAAAAGGAACAATATTACATTGTTTCCGAAGTTTGTCACAAGAGAGTAGCAATTGGATTTTTTTTTACCATTAAGAAAATTATGGTGAGCCGAAGAAATCTTTTTTTTATTTTTCGCTGAAATTTCACGATAAAAATTGTCTTAAAAAAAAAAATAATCAAGTAATCGCAAAAATCAATTGCTACTCTTCAGATAATGTATCTAAAAGTAGTGTGTACAAACTTCAGAGCAATCGGACCGATAGTTTACGAGATTTACGTTGTATCATTTCGAAAAATGTAGTTTCGAGATAATCCCAAAAGAAAGTAAACGTGCCGCCCGATTGCTCTGAAATTTCTACACACTACTTTTAGATACATTATCTGAAGAATAGCAATGGATTTTTGCGATTACTTGATTCATTTTTCAATTAATTGTTTTTTAAGAACAGTACTCAAGAATAGTACGCCTTAATTAACAAGAAACTTGCAACAATAATACTGCGTCGGACCAACCAAAGCACGCCAACGGTTAAACGTTGTTCTCAGACGTTGTGGAAATCTTGTTACAAACAAGAACCTGTTGTTATATTCTAAAATTAGTTTTTTCTATTCTTATTTATGAATAATACTAGGTTTCTAATAGTTGGGAATCAGTTGGGATATAGTTAGTGCTTTTGGCTAGAAATGGCCAAATAGGGGCCCACGTTAAAAGGATTATGACAATTTTCCTACAAATACACAATGTTGGGTTAACAATTACTATAGTTGGTTAATTAACAAGAAACTTGCAACAATAATACTACATCGAACCAAGCAAATCACGCCAACGCTTAAACGTTGTCCTCAGACGTTGTGGAAATCTTGTTAAATGAGAACCTGTTGTTATATTCTAAAATGAGTTCTTTCTATTTTTATTTATGAATAATACTCGGGGTTTTCTATCGTTGGGCCATGGATGGCCTACTGAAGTATTGTTATGTACAGTATATTGAAGTTTATTAATTGACTATTCATCAAATTTGTCTACTTTAATTTCAGAAAGCAAAAATGAAAACAAATGAAAAGCTTTGTTGCCGGTACAACGACGGGGCGAGTCTTTCGACTCTTGTTTCTTTTAATTTTTAATCCATGTGATGCTGGGCGGGCACCGTTGTCACCAGACAGTTCATTTTTGTTATCCATTACTTTATCTTATGTTACACATTGACATTTACAATAAAGCACGAATAATGATTGAAAATGACGCGCATGAAGCCAGCCAGCGAATTACGAATTAAGAATATAATTCGCAACGCGAGTGTTTTATTTTGCCAGTTAAAGGTGAAATGATCGGTTCTAATGTAAAGCAGGTAAGTAGTAATTTAATATGGAAAGTGAAAGATCCGTTCGTACAACAGTAATGCGTATTGTTTTATTGCGTTCTATTTAATATACATTTTTAGTTCATGTGAATTTTCGTTCCTAACAACGACGGTTATAAAACAAAAAATGATCGACGAAGCCGACAGTAGGAAGCGACGAGGCACTAATGCAGTTGAACGCGTGCATTTATCACGATTAAACGTGCTTCGTATATAATATGTTTTCTATTTTATGTTTACATAATGTAGAAAGTAATTGAATTTGAAGCAACTCAAGATGGTGACAATGGAAATGTTGGTGTTGTTCGATCGGAGTGGCTTACGTCTTAAAAAAAAGAATGCGTTTGACCTCCATATAAATTAATAGCAAAATTTAATAAAGCTTTACACGGGGGGATAATGCCCGTTAATGAACGTTACACAAAAGACTAACATCACAAAATTTCAAATAAAATATTTTTCAAATATACAAATTGCTTTTTATTTCAATTTTATTATTCAATTAAGGTGTAAATCTCATATGTAAAAGAAATAATAATCTCCGAAAAACATTCTGAAAGCTGTTTTATTGAAGTGTAGTAGAGCCAATTGTCTGGCTACTGTTGGTTTATTGTACTTAGTCAAGAGTTGGTCCTACGGAAAGAAATTTTCAGTTGGCCCTTTATATCGAAAGTAACGTGGGGTCTACATTGGGTGTGATCGTTGGTTCATTGTCAGTTGAAGAAAAGAGCGAGAATCCTAACCGTTGGCCGTTGGATATGTATTTATGAGAAGAAAAAAACAGTGTTAAGTTGAGAAGCACTGTGTTTCGGATGGTTATTATTTATGGAGAGGAAGTTATCTCGTATATGGTGGTGATTCGGGGTGTAATTCCGATTCCAACGATCGGGACGTGGACGCGTCCCTTGGTAATACTGTTGCAATAACGAGGGCAGTAACAGCTCCCCTGATGAAACTGACAACGAATTGGGAGAGGTACAAGGCAGAAGGCAGGGCTAGGGACTATTGTTCTAGCCCGTACCGCGGCGTACATGCACGAACACAAAAGTCTCGGTCTTCCACATTACGGATTCATTAAAGAGGTTACGCCGCCAGAAGCATTTACGTTCAACACTATACAGGGTGTCTACGTATGAGTTCGGACCTCTCCTTTGACATTTTCTTTGTGTCGTCTTATTCTCGAGTATTTTCACTTTTAATTTTTTTTCTGCGTTTTCGACTTGACAATCTTTAAACGGCCATAACTCCACTAAATTGCAGTACAAACTTAAAACTAAGTATACCATTCGAAAGAGCGCTAAATTTTCCATCACCCTGATGCAAAACCGAAATTTATTACGTAGGTTTAATAACTGAAAAATTAGGTCAAACTTTACATTGTGAAAATTAAAAAAAATTTGACTATTTCTGTAATCGTTTTTCGGTTTCAAAGACATAGTTGTTCGGCTGGCACTCTTCGGGAAAAACTTCCTTGAAGTCTCAGCTTTTGAACGGTATTGTCAAAAAAAATTGTACGGTGGTATTTTAGGGAGAAAATGTTTAAATGCAGAAAAGCGTTCAAAATGCCCGCTTCCTAAATCAAAACTTATCGGTTCTCCTGCGGCGAAAACATCGATTTTTTGCTTTGTGAAATCGATCGTGTTCCAATCTCTATATTATTTATTGGTACACCGAGGTTGATTTTGATTAAATAGTCTCTAAAAACGAAAATTCTATGGATACATGTTCAAAAACAATTATTATTCACCTCGCACTCAGGCTCTACACACGGCTGGGAGAGGCTTGAGGTGTCAAAAAGTTTTTTTTTTTTACGTTGAGGAGGCTCGGGAGTGTCACTAAAAAGTACATCAAACGCGATGTCAAGTCAATTTTAAAGCGACAAGTCGATTTTTGTTGAAAAATATCGATTTTCACTTAAAAATCCACGCTTTTCTGCATTCAAACGTCATTTTCTCCCTAAAATACCACCGTACAATTTTTTTTGACAATACCGTTCAAAAGCTGAGACTTCGAGGAAGATTTTCCCAAAGAGTGCCCACCAAATAACTATGTCTTTGAAACCGAAAAACGATTACAGAAATAGTCAAATTTTTTTTAATTTTCACAATGTAAAGTTTGACCTAATTTTTCAGTTATTAAACCTACGTAATAAATTTCGGTTTTGCATCATGGAGATGAGAAATTTAACTCTTATTTTGGTAATCTAAAACGAACGAAGTACTTCTCCTCTGCATTATAAACATATATTCAATGTAGTTCTTTAATGAATTCTTCTATTAAGAATCTTCAATAAGAATCTTCATAAAATGAGTGATGGAAAGAGATATTCTTCAATCGTAAGAAATAGTTTCTCCATCTGTGTATCATATTTATACAGTTTATCTTCAGGTTAAGAACTATGGAAAGTATTCAATTTTATGTTTCATGTTATTAAAATGAAACATATTTTATTGTATGCGTTAGATTATCAAAATAAAATATTTGATTTGCTGAAATTTTATATCCCATTTGAAATGCTATTTTATTTGA